TTTAACAACAATAACTTTGTTAATCTTCCGTCTCACCAGACAGCAGCAGCATTTTGACTGGAATAGCTCTGCAGCCATTTAATTAGTTTTAATGTGCCATTGTTTATCATGGGACAGTGCGTCTGTGCTCGGCTCTCTGGGTGCCACTGAGTTGCATCACAGTCTGTTTGTGCGTCTGAGTGGCTTTTGGGGTTAGTTTGTGGAGCAACGGGGGGGATGATAATATGAAGCAACCCAGTTTGAGTTATAACTGTGTTGAATGCGGGTTGGAATGTTGGTTTGGGTGGGATTCACCCTATACATGTGCATATTGAACAGCATGAATCCGAGTCAGTGTTACAAAGTGACAAGTAATCTTTCAGAGGTTTGGTTTTGACTGAGATCCAAAATTTCTGGATGTTCTCACTCACTTTTTTCTTCTTCACATATTCATTATTATTCTAGTGTTTCTCAGTTACCTTTTAAGATCTTTCCTAGCAGTATTCCAAGTGTTTTTCTTAGGCTTATCCTGTTTTTCCTGCCTTTTCCCTTGTGGTTTTCCCTCACTAACCTCAGCTGACATACAGCGTTATGCTAACCTGGCAGAGCGGATATGTCAGACACACAGGTCAAATAAATAAAGAGTGGGAACCTGAACCTGATTCTGGCTTGACTTGTCTCTGTAATTCCTTAACCTGCACCAAATCACTCTCCCAAAGGGAAATCTGCTCTTTGACCTTTTGTCAGTCATAACCTGAACTTCCTACAGGACCTTTAACTAGCTGGGGACACCCTCGAGTTTTACTTTGTAAAGATCCAGTTCTGTCCTTTGGGAATTTATGTAGAACTTTCTTTGTAAGCTCATGTGGAAGATGGGGCAACTAGACAAAAAGATCAGAGGGAACTCATAATGTTGCTTCGATTTATAATGAAATGAGCAAAACATAATGAATGCAGTGTTATGCTCTCAAATTAAGCTTTGTGCAGCCCACTGGAGCTGTATTCCCTAAAGGAGTAGTGAATTACCTTGGTTCTGTTGACTTATTAGACCCCCACCATTACCACCAACATACAGTACATAACCATCCCCCCCCCCCCCCCCCC